GCTGCTGCAACCAAGAACCGCAAACCGGGTGACTTAGAAAAGCAGAAATGTATTGCCTTACAGTTGTGGAGGCTAGAAGTCCAACAGCCAGGTGCGGGCACGGCGGTGCTCCCTCTGGGACTCGAGGTGGAATCCTTCCTGCCTCCTCCAGACTCTGGGAGTGACCACCAGGGCCACATGATCCTTGGTTTGCAGCTGGTCAGTCCAATCTCTGCCTCCGTCGTCATGTGGCCGTTTCACAGTCTTCCTTCTGCACTTGTCTGTGTCTGCGTCCAAAGTTCCCGTTTTTATAAGGACACCAATCTGACTGGATTAGGACCCACCCTAATGACCCCACTTTAATTTGATTATCTCTGTAATGACCCTACTTCCAAATAATGTCATATTTTGGGATGATGGGGTTTAGAACTTTGATATGTCTTTTGGGGGGGACACAATTCAACCCATAATAGCCAGGAAAGCTGGTTTTCCATTTCATGGTGCTATAGAGCAGTAGAACCCAAGTCCACGGTGACTAGATATCCAATATCACCTGAAAAGGAACAGGCTCTTCTTGAACAGAGAAATTGCACATGGTTCCTTTCCTCCTTGACCTTCCATTTTCTATTTCACTCCCTCCACATGAATAGAACCTAACAGATCGGTTCTCACCTGCTGGTGATTTTGCCCCACAAGGGACTTTTGGCAATATCTAGACACATTTTTGGTTGTCATAACCGGGGGGGTGGCGGGGGGAGAAGCGGCTACTGGTATCTAGTTGGTAGAGGCCAGGAACGTGGTTAATTATCCTTAAGAACACAGAAAAGCACTCCCCCAAACAATAGCAGAGAATTAACTGCCCCATAATGTACTGTGGTTGAGAACCCCTGACCCCACGTAACATCTTCTCAAGCCTGAAAGTCTTTATAACCCTAACCCTCTTCTACTTACTGCAATAAAAATATGCTCATAAGGATCAAAATACGTGTTTGCGATGGTCTGAATGTTTGTGCCCCCCAAATCCATATGCTGAAATCCTGCCTCTCAATGTGGTGGTGTTAGCGGGTGAGGGCTCTGGGGGGTGATTAGGCCCTGAGAGTGCAATCCTCATGGATTGGATGAATGTTCTTCTGAAAGAGACTTCAGAGAGATCCTTCACCTTCCACCACGTAAGGACACAGCAAGAAGACGGCCGTCTGCAAACAGCCCAGGGAGTGGGCCTTCACCAGACTTCGAACCCGCCAGTGCCTTGATCTTGGACTTCTCAGCCTCCCGAACTGTGAGAAATAAATTTCTGTTGTCTGTGAGCCATCCAGTCTAAGGAATTTTTGTTATAGCAGCTTGAGCGGGCTTGTTATTTTTGTTATCCATGACCATAAAGTTCTAGGTGTTAAATCTTTTTCTCAATTATCATTATATCAGCACACAATTGATCAAAAAAACAAAATATATTAAAAATCATGACAAATTTCAAACTTAAAAAGAAAAGCTGGGGCTGGCCTAGTGGCGCAGCGGTTAAGTTTGCACACTCAGCTTCAGCAGCCCAGGGGTTGCCAGTTCGGATCCCAGGACCTATGCACTGCTTGTCAAGCCATGCTGTGGCAGGCGTTCCACATATAAAATAGAGGAAGATGGACACGGATGTTAGCTCAGGGTCAATCTTCCTCAAAATATAAAGGCAGAAAAAGAAAAGCGTACTGGAAACATATCTTAATAAGATGAATATGGCTGATAATGTTTTAAGTTAATTGATGCATTCATGGATGAATATTACTTATTGGTTGAATGAGACAGATTTACCATCAATTCCACTTCCATTTTTCACCTTAGAGATGTCAGCTCTGAAAAACCTTGTTGACATAAGTAGATGAGAATAGGAGTTTGGTGACAGCAACATCCATCTTTGAATTCATTTGAGTTCTATCCCCAAATCCATATGGTGATCCTCAGATATTGTTTTTAGTGATCAACAAGCTAAAAACTCAATTAGGTCTTTCTTCAGTTTTGCCAAAATCAAAAATTGAGAAACTCCTGCCTTGCAAAAGGACTTGTTACGCAGTCAGTACCCAGCTGATAGTACAAATTGTCTGTTTAGACCCTGGAGATTTTTATGCCCCGGGGCAAGGCTGCAAAGTCAGAACAGGATGGGGAGACGGGGCCGGGGAGAAGGGGTTCCCAGGTGGACCCCTTGGTGAAGAGCCCCCGTAGCAGTTGGGATCTGAAGACCAACTGCCTTAAAACTATCCTTGCCTGGTTTCCTTTGTAGAGTCTTCATTCCCTGCTATGAAGACCATTAATACAAAATTTCCTTTTAAAATATGCTATGTAAAAAACAAAAAGAAGTGAGTCGATTTAAAAATATATCTTAACCAAGAAATAAACCAGCAGAATATGCAAGAAAAACATTAATGGTGGGTAAATGACTGAAGCGTAGGGAACCCTGCCATGGTGGATGAAGCAGGGGCTTGGACACCAAACAAGCACTAATCTGAATTCCAGGGACCTTGCACAAGTCACTTTAACACTCTGAGCCTCAGTTTCCTCATCTGTAAAATGGCAATAATACCTGTTTCACAGGGTGTTTCTATGGGTTGAATGAAGTAATATACAGAAAAATGCTTCTGTAGACTATAAAAGAAAGTTACAAAGCCTTGTTGAAAGTATTGGAAGGGTGTTTCCTCTCTTCTCACCCTCAGTATTAATTGAACTAATAGCAGATGTCTCAGCAGAGGAATATGCTCCCTTGGGCCTGAGTCCTGGGCTGAATGGTCCAGATTCGTGAGTCTGATTCTGATACCAGAAAAAATTGACTCAAAACTTATCTATAGCATCTTATTAGTGTTTACTGATTCCGTTGCTAAATATGACAATTGTGTCCTAAACCATAAAGCTTAGCGAACACTAAGGTTGCTTCCTACCCCAGAATGCTAGGAACTTGCAGGAGAAGAACATCTCCTGTGCAAGCTCATGCGTGGGAAGCTCGCATTTCGGAGTGTCTTCCCCACGACAACTGCTCTGCTCCACACCAGGTGTCTTAGCTCATGATGGCCACGCACATCTGAGGTTACTATTTGATGTTTGTGATATTATTAAACACTTATAATACACAAACATGTTCCTCATGGGCCGAAGGCTGAAAGAAGGAAGTTTCCAATAAAAAACTGTCTTACAGTTCCAAAGCTTTGTGCAAATTAAAAGAATAAAATGGTTAAAAACCTAAATATGTCAACATAAAGTGAATGATTGTACCCATCAGCTTCTAGAAAAATCAGCAGAGAGCTATCAAACAGGATATAATTAAGGATTTTTAGAGCATCTAAATCAAGAATACATGAAGATCATAAAATGTGTGTAATGTGTATGCACTGCTTTCCTTTGTTACAGTGTTCTTATATTAAAAAAATGGGATTTTTATTTTATTTTTTGTGTGTGAGGAAGACTGGCCCTGAGCTAACATCTGTGTTGATCTTCCTCTATTTTTTACATGTGGATGCCACCACAGCATGGCTTGATGAGCCGTGTGTAGGTCCACGCCCGAGATCTGAACCCTCAAACCCTGGGCTGCCAAAGCAAAGTGTGTGACCTTAATGGCTATGCCATGGGGCTGGCCCCAGGATTTTTTTATATTATGCTATGAGACAACATATAGCAACAGATCTGTCTGATATTTTACCACATATAAGATTTTTACCCCAAAACAGTATTGCAGCTATTAAGCTATGCAATAAAATAACCCCAAAATGCTATTTCTAAGGGTTTGTTTTTATGTCATATTTTATAGCAAAATATAAAATGAAAATATTTTACTTAATCTCAGTATACTTTGTTCTTAGTACAATATGATAATTTAATTTTTTTCACTCATTATTCTTCCTGTTATAAAGATTAAGAATTGCAGTAAATTACATTTATATCATTTTTTGCAGTACTGATCTGTTTGGGAGACAACAGATCACACACACACTGTCTGCCTTGAGCTCTTGGGAATATTCAGTCAAAATACATTCTAATTTTGAAAGTATTCTGAGGTCAAATAAGTTTGGCAAGTGTTAGATTAAACATTAAAATCTGCTGTTGTTCAAAAGAATTGGCTAGATATGAAATGACAGAAAAATATCCATGAAAAAGTAGAGAATGACATCAATAACAGTTTTGCTTTCTGAAGGCTGTGTGTGTGTATATTAAAAGGTCAGAAAACATCCCCCAAACCTCTTGCAAGGATTACTTGGGGGTTTGGGGTTAAGAACAGAAGGGGGTTGTCAGATGGTCTTCAGATTTTTATACACATTTTTATTGAATATAGTTACAATGTGCAGACATTAGTTTTCTAACATAAAGATTTTAGTTACAATCATCTGGGAGTGTAGTTTCAGCAGGAGCAAAACTAAGTCGATTGTGAGAGTTCCCTTTGAAAGAGGGGTCCCTACCCGACCAGAGCAGTTGAAATTTGCCTGATTTGCCTTGAAGGAATTTGAGACCATCTCCTCCACCGCCCGCCCCGAGGGGCTGCCCCTCCTCACCCCGCCCCCAGCACTAAAGACCGAGGCCTGCGGGGCTCCCTCGGTCAGCACGTCTTGAGCAGCTACTGTGTGCTAGCACTGAAGTGCTGTCCAGAACTCCGGAGCAAGCTTTTCAGAAGAGAATCTCAGTGTCAGCCCACTCAAAATGAGAAAAAGCTCATTTCATTCTGTTTAGAAATGTTTAGATAATTCTGAGCCTCATTTCAAGAGACTTGTTTTCTCTGCAACATTGTTTCTGCCCCTATTATTTACTATTTCTGCTAAAATAGTTACATCCTACAGACTCTCTTTCTAATGTTCATATTTCTTGGTGAAGTGTCTCCCAAATTTGTCTGATCACAAGAATCACCAGAGATGTTTGTTAAAGATTCCAGGGCCCCACCTACACCTGCTTCGTTAGGATCTCCAAACAACTTTGTTTGTTTTGTTTTGGTTTTTGGTGAGGAAGATGGGCCCTGAGCTAACATCAGGGCCCATCTTCCTCTATTTCGTATGTGGGACGCCACCACAGTGTGGCCTGATGAGCGGTGTAGGTCCACGCCCAGGATCTGAACCAGCAAACCCTGGGCCACTGAAGCAGAGCGAGGACCTTAACCACTATACCACCCGGCCAGCCCCTCTGAAGTACTTTTAAATCACCCAGGTGATTCTTATGATCAGGTAAGCTTGAAAAACATGGCCTTAGTGAAATGACTATCTAACAGTCTTCAACTTTTGTAGCCAGGTGAGTTCCAGAGCTATTCTAGGCCGGTGGCTCTAAATGGGGGGGTTTGTCGAAATCACCTGAGCGTTCACCACCCACGACTGCTGGGCTCCACCCCCACTTTCTGACCCACGCGTCTTGGGTGGGGTTGAAGAATCTGCCCTTCTAATCAGTTCCCATATGACGCTGCTGCTGGTCCGGGGATGACCCTTTGAGAACCACTGCTCTAGTCCGGTTGCTTTCAATTTTTTTAACCACAAGCCACAATAGGAGAAACACTTTACATCAGAACCCAGTACTCACACGTGTTCATCTGAAAAGTTCCACACAACAGTGCTTAATTCTTACCATGAGCATCACACACGGAAATTTTTTATTTTATTTCACTCTTTAAAGATCTACTAAATAGATTGCACAAACCAAGAATAGGTTGCCATCACCAGTTTGAAAAAAACACTAAATCTAGTCTCCTCTCTGGGGGGTAGATCAGTAATCTCCACTTTTCTGGTCATGTGCCATGAGGAGCAAACATTTTTGAGCATGCACTCCCAAAATGTACATGTTTATAAATTATATACTTCACCCTCTTGATTCATATATCAAATGTTAGTATAGCTTAATAGTTTTCCTTACATTTTAGAGGGAAAACACGTAAATAAAGGTTCTAACGTTTCCTCCAGCTCCCTGGTGGCATCTTTGCAAGGACTCCTGGAGTGTGTGCTCCACCTTCGAGGCTCCGACACCAGCGACACTGAATGAGTAGTCCAAGGTCCCGGGGCCGGCTTCCAGTGGGGTGATTTGGTTTTTGTTTTAAAGCTCTTGAAAAGTAAGCAGGTACGTGTTAAGTAAGAAGACAGTCTTGGCCTTCTTTTCTTGCTCCATTGTTTAAAATCCCCGAGTGGTATAGGAAGAAATGTGAATACCATTACATTTTTCTCAAAAGGCCACCAACTTCCACACGATGTAGTTTCACAGAAGTCTCAAATATGATGAACGGCGAGACGGCCTATTCTAAAGCAACGAAGCTGTTCCAGTACCCCCGCTACTTTCTAGTTACGATGACGACTGTGCAGACAGTTGCCTCGACGCCTCGTCTGAACAAGCAGACCCCTAGGGAGAAGTTGTGCCCAAATCTGGGCTCCGGCTCCTGGCTTCTCTGCGTCCGGTTCCTGGTAAATAAGGAGAAGTGAGCTAGAGACACAGGGCCGTTTCCCCCTCTTGGCCACCGCAAAGCTGTAGTGACAAACTTTTGGATCCCTCAAGAGGCAGGAAGCAGGGTCTCCTGTTCCGCTATGTTCCCACAAGGAACATAATTTTATCTTTGTTCCTATCACAGAACATCTTCACAAGGCTCCAATTAGGCAGCAGGCACGTGACTGCTATGGCCCTCACACACACACACACAATAGATTTGAGTGGCACTAAGGTCAGAACAATTATATGGCCACTAGCATTACCATAACTTCCGAATATTATGGAATGAGAAACCCCTAACAAAAAACAGGCATAAAGCTACCTGACAGCTTGTGAATATTAAATATCTGGCCCCCAAAGGCAGCACTTCTAAAACTACAAAGAGGGAACTTTAAAAAACTCAAGTGATTTCTTTCCATGGGGTGGGAAAATCTTCAAAGTTTGGTGGAAAAAGAAATCTTCATTTTAAAATTAAACTTTGTAGTTTGCAAATAAAAGCAGACCCAGCTCCCAGTTCAGACAGGGGCGGCTTGGAGGCTAGTCAGCCTTTGAGCGTGCTCTGTGGGACAGACGGCTGGCCCGGGCACCCTCAGTGCACAGCCACCAGGAGGGCATCACCACGGTGCTGGCCCCAGACAGACAGTTGGCCCTGGCTCCCTGTCCGTGCTTGTCTCACACTGCGCAGCCGTCTACCCTCACTCCTGCCCCACTCTGTGCAAGCCGGTCTGTGTCTGCATCTGCTCATCTTTCTTCCTCTTTTTTTTTTTTCCTGCTGTTTTTCTCCACTTCATCTCACCCACCCTCTAGCTGGCCATGATGTAGCATGGAAATACATTTACTTTTGTTAAACTTATTAAAAATATACAGGTTTCCCAGCCTTAATTTTAAAAGTCATTGATTTGAACACATTATGATTCTCTTCGGAAATCTGTATTTGTTTTGAATTTGCATGCGGGCTTTGGTCCACGAGGTTTTATTCCATAGGAGGTCAGTGGCTCACTCATGAGAGAAAAAAATTCTCTGTGATTTAGCTTAAGGAATTGCTCAAATTCAGCATAAAGCAGACCTAGGGAATACGTAAATCCGTTTTATTTGGTCTCCACCTGGTGGTTGGAAATTAGAATACAAGCCCTTAGGGAACTGGAAAAAATACTCATTTCAATTCATCTCTGCAAACACAGAATCCACAGCTAATGAGGACTGACTTTTTCTTTGATGTCAGCATCCCCGCTGAACACTAAGCCACGTGAGGCAGGAAGCATGGACCTGCTGGCTCACCGCTATGTCCTCAGGGCACAGGGCCCCACCCACAGTAAGTACCCCATAAATGTATCAGGAACAAACAAGCCAGCGCAAGACACTTTATATAGTTTACTTTCTGCTATCTTTCCTTACCCTCTTACTGTTCTTTTCTCTTCAAATACCATAATGCTATTTTTCACATATTCTGCTTTTTTCACATTTTAATATCAAAGAGAAATCAGAATGAGTCATACAACCCGACAGTGTCCTGTGTTCACTGTCATCCAGGCAGCAGCTGTGACATGGTTGTCATTGCCTGTGTTCATGACCTTGGTCACGGCTGTCCTTATTCCCTTCTCTTCTGTTGAGTTGTATGCATTGTCGTCTTGGCTGTGGTAAGCTTAATTGCCCTTTAAAATGTCTTCAAAATGTTTATACTATGATTCAATATTGAAACAAATGGAAAAGGTCATTGTATGCAAAGAAAGGCCTAGGAGCAAAGGTGTGGGCTCAAGTTTGATCTTTGTAAAGCAAACATTTGTTGTTGAAGGAATTACTGCACCTCTGTTTTCTTGCAAAGCAACAAGAAAGTGCTTTTCCAGACCACAGAAAGGAAGATACCCACAAGAAGAACAGTTACATTTTGTTAAGGAGACGTGTATAAAAGATCGCCTGTCACCTTGCTATTCAACGCGTGGTGTGCAACCAGCAGCCTCAGCAATATCTGGGAGCTTATTAGACATGCAGAATTTTAGCCCCATCCTCGACCTACTGAACCCGAACTTGCATTCTAACAAGACTCCTAAGTGATTCACGTACCCAGGCAAGTTTGAGACGCGCTGCCATATCCCATGACAAGAAGTGCAGCTGAATGAACCGGAGATCTTCCAAATCCTTCAAAAAAGATGAAAGAATTGTCACAGTAATGAGAGGTTAGTGTGCCCAATTATTGCATGAGGACTTCAGCTGAGACACTGTGCCATCGTTTAATTGGCAGCACTTTTTTTCATTCTTAATGATACCTAAAATAATGGTCCTTCCTACAATCAGTGGCATCTTAGGTTTGATGAAATACTGTAGTATTGGTTCAAGATGTTTCTTTTGCTCCAAATTATCATGGTCACAGGTGTGGAGACCCAAGAGGAGCTAATTTGTCACAATTTAGTCATTCAAGCAGCAAAGTCTCAAATCAATAATGTTTTTCAGTTTCAGCTCTTGGAAAAGCCCAGATTAAAGCATCAGCGGGGCAGAGAGAGAGACAAAGGGCCCTTCTTCAGGGACAAGAAAAGCAATAAGCCATTCTTCACAGGTGGTCAGAGTTCATGAGAGAAATACCACTATGACTGAAGATCGATGGGGGCATTCGAAGGAACAGGAGGTAGAAGAGAAAAAATAAGCAAGAATATTCTTCATTTTGAGAGTTAAATCGTCTTTAAATTTTTCAATTAAAAAATGTTATGATATTCCTCATTTTTCATCATTCTGGTCCACAGTGTGGGACAGCATGTCAAAATGAATAGAGTTGGGGGAAATGCAAACAATTGGCTTAATATTAACAACGATTGTTTTTCTTAAGCATCTGAGTTTTTATAGGTTTATAGATAAGTAAATGCAAAATGTATACAAATATACTCGTTTCAATCCATCAGATATGTTACCTGATATAATAGAGGTTAATTTAAACCCATGGGCTCTGAAACTGACTACCAAGCTTCATAGCCAACACCCCCACTTACCGTGTGACTTTGGGAAAGATAGTTAACTTCTCTGTGACTCAGTTTCCTCATTTGAAAATAGAAAAAAACAAGAGTTGTAAAGACAAAATGAGTAAAGCACTTAGAACAGTGTTTTGTTGTATGTAATAAGTGGTCAATAACTATGAGACATGATTCCTTCCAACATAAATATTTTTACCCTTCAGCATTAATTCTCAAAGCATAGTCCCTCGGCCAGCAGCATTAGCACCACCTGGAAATTTGTTAGAAAAGCAAATTCTCTGAGCCCCACCCAGACCTCCTCAATCAGAAACCCTGGGAGTCATGCCTGGCAACAACTCATTTCCACACACCCTTCAGGTGATTCTGACGCAGGCTAACCTTGAGAACACCTGCCCTGGGACTAGCCCGTTAGCAGGGGTCATCTCGAGCTTGGGTTCCGGACTCTAGCATTATGGAACGAGCCAGTGGAGGCGCTGAGCTGATTTATAATCTGGTGCAGGCCCACTCAAAAGGCTTGATAACACTCGACTTGAGTTGGAATGAGCAAGTGACTAGGAGGCGGGTCGTAGTAAGGATGAGGCTACGCAAAGAAGAGAAGCCAAGAGAGCAGGAAACCCAAGTCCCAGACAAAGGACTTAAAGCCCAGCAAGAGGAGAAGCTCGGAGGGCAAGATGGTAATGACACCATGTGAGTACAGGGCATCTTCTGCAGCCGAGAACAAGAAGGCAAAACAAGGCAGGGAAAAGCGGAAATGGCCGGAGCGGTCAAGGCAGCGGAGCTGTGAGTGAGATGCTGAGCCCTGCTGTGAATTTTGTCTAATCATTCCTTGGATCTAGGTTACTGACAGTCAAGACACTGAAAAGGTCTGAGGTCTGAGCTAACATTTGTTACCTGCTGGGTTGAACCCCTCCTGGAAACTTGGAGCGAGTCTTCTCGGTTGGCTGACCACAATGCCTGGGCACTGGCTGCCAGGCTCCTGATGCACCTGATTTTTATTTGCTTCCCCTGGCAATGACGAAAGATGCTCACTAGAAGTGTTTTAAAGTGGCAAAGTATTCTTTACTGAACTTTAGACATAGCCAAGAAGTAGATTAGGAATGCCTAGTCATGGGCCTAAATGCTGCTTTTTCCCTTTTTCTCGTCCTGGAGAAAATTTTGCTTTGAGGCCATCAATTTCCCTAAAAAGAGCTGAGACGACCCTCCCACGCCTCTTCTCTCTCTGCCCCCAGGCCAGGAATAACCCTCTCCCCTTATCTCCTGTTGGATCAGAGATTTCATTGACCTATGCAGGGCATTGACTGATTAAAATGCTAGTCCTCAGAGGACTTTTAAGATGCTTGCCTGATCAAACTGATCACACAACACTTGAGAAACATGTAGTGTTACATAAAACCTCAACTAGAGAGAAACGGTACCTCTGAAAAGTGTCTGTGTTTGATGCGTCCATGTAACTCTTTGCTCTGTTCTCAGCTGAATTGTCCCAAATTAGCCTGGTGATTCATATTTAGTTAGATAGCGCAGAAGAGTGGGAGACAACATAAGGAGGGTAACACAATGCCCAGAGGGTCACAAAGTCTAACGAGGTGCTAGGAAAGACTTTCTCCCAAGACTGTGCAGCTGCCTAGAATAAAGACACGAAGACCATGAAGTGGCCTATAATCCCTGTTCCGTTTACTTTCCTTTCAAATATATGTTGTCCTCCAATCACAAAAATATTCCTTATCGCAAAAATAAGCCAAAAAGTCAAAAAGTGGAAGCAACCCAAGTATCTATCAACGGATGAATGGAGAAACAAGATGTGGTAGACACATACAATGGGATATTTTTTTAGCAATAAAAAGGAAGGAAATTCTGAAACATTCTACAACCTGGATGGATATTGAGGACGTTATGCTCAGTGAAATAAACCAGTCACAAAGGGACAAGTACCATATGATTCCACATGGATGAGGGAGCTAAAGTCAAATTCATAGAGAAAGAAAGTAGAACGGTGGTTGCTAGGGCCTGGGGGGAGGTGGGAATGGGGAGTTGTCTAGTGGGTACAGAGTTTCAGTTTTGCAAGATATAAAAGTTCTGGAGATCTCTTTCACAACAACCTGAATACACAACACTTTTGAAGTGTACACTTAAAAATGATTAAGATGGTAAATTTATATATTTTTTATGACAGTAATAAGAAAGTTAGGCTTCCTCTGGAAAAAAAAAATGGCTAAAATGGTACATTGTGTGTTTTACCTCAATAAAAAATACAGGTAAAAAAATAATAGAAGTAACCCAAAAGCCAAAGTGCCACATAAGAACCCTACACTTTTTCCTTAAACTGGGTCCCAAAACAATCCTATTGGATGGTGGCTGTTAATGAAATAATGATGTTTTCATTTCTGCTGAGGAAAAACCGAAGCCCGGAAAGAGCCCCAAAATATAACCTAGGGAGTCTGCCTCAGATCTGCTTTCGTACATGCTGAACTAAGCAACGCTCTTTCAAGAGAAAAAGAGATAAATTTAAAAAGAAAAAGCTTGTCAGTGCAGGGCCCCGCCCTGCTGTCCCGCAGACAGGGAGAGACTGAGCCTCCCACCCCTTGAATGCAGCTCAAGTCTGGACACGGATGTAAGGACATCCCGTGCGGCCCGGTGAGTAGCTGCCGCCGGTTAGAGCCGAGGAAGGGATGAGAAGGGATGAGCTTAAATTTCATCAGAGAGATTGGGGGAGAATGTCCGTAAGGAACTTCTCTCTGCAGAATTACCAAGCGCAGGGCGGGAAGGAGGTGGCGGAGTTCTCTGGAATAGAGTTCCTCTGGGATGTTGTGGGTGCAATCCTGTGCAGGGTCAAAAGGATGAGGGAGGGGAATTGTCAGGGTCTCTTAACTCCATGGCTCTTTTGTTAACTAAGATTACTGTACTCGCATTCCCGGGAACTTCAGCTGAGGTCAGCAGGAGCCCCTGGAGTTCCCAATTCACCTGGTGACAGGGAGGAAGAGAGGAAATTGTGGTCACAAGAATCTATCGCTGTGCGCGGATGGTACACAGGAGCGGAGCCAGGACTGAGGCGGGGCTGGACGAGAGGTCAGTATACCTTCCCCACCTTGACTTTAGGCCTTAGATATGTCCATGGCTCTGAATCTACAAGGAACAAGTAGGAGATCTTATAATTAATAAGAGAGCAGAGATAAACATGCCCCTGTCAAAGTGGATGAAAAGTCACAGACGGTTGTATTCTCTTTCCATCGTCAAAATGTATCTATTTTAACACCATATTAAAGAAATATAAAGCCAACCTCTGCTTCACACCGTGCAAGAAAATAAATTTCAGTTACATTAAAAAATAAGGGTTTAAAGACACAGAGAAGACAACTAGGAAAAATATAGAATGTTTGTTTACCTGTCAATCAGAGAGGCCTTTCTGAAGGGCACCAGCGCCCACACCATCAGAAACAACTGGCAGATCCACAGCCGTGAGAATGAGAAACCACCAAGAGAAACAGTGATTCTGGAAAAATATTATTTAAATGTTTAGTATTACTTTAAAAATAATTAAATATTTATTAAAATTAAATAATTATTTAGACAAATATTTTAAAAACATTACAAATAATGGGACAATGTCTTCATTAATAAAGAGGACTTAAAACTAACTAGGAAATCAAATATATTTTGTGTGTGTGACGAAGATTGCCACTGAGCTAGCATCTGTGCCAACCTCCCTCTATTTTATGTGGACGCTGCCACAGCATGGCTTGACAAGCGGTGCTAGATTCCAGGATCTGAACCTGTGGACCCCGGGCCGCTGAAGCAGAGTGCACGAACTTAACCACTGCGCCAACCGGGCTGGCCCCAAGAAATCAAATATTTTTTTAAAGGTGAAGGACATGAACAGAAAAATCACACAATACAAGTGACCAACAAAGTTATGAAAATGTAAAATTGCAACATCGTTAATGAGAAAAGAAACAGAAAATAAAAATAAGTCGTCATTTTTCACATCTTGTGTTGGCAAATATTAAAACCCTCTTCTTCCACCCTACAAACTGGATTCTTACAAAGCCGACACGGGAGCGGTGGATCAGGACGACTCCTGCGTTTGTCCAAGTCTGGGAACCGCTGCCCACAGCCATGGTGCTGGGCACACCGCGAGACCAGGAGGCAACTAGGTTTGACGGCAAAGGTGAGGAAGTGGTCCTCTCGGCTGCTGGTTTAATAACTGGAATAGTGGAGTCCTCATGTGATGTTGGTGGAGGTGTCAATTACCACAAGCACTTTGGACCCCTGTTTGACAGCGTCTGCTGAAGCTAAGCTTACACATCCCCTATGACTCAGCATTTCTACTTCTTGGTGTATATACGACAGAAATGAGTGCTTGACGTGCACCCAAGTTCAGCCAAAGCAATGTACAAGAACGTTCATAACTTCAACAGCCCTTCATGATAGAAACACTCAACAAACTAGGAATAGGAGGGAACTTCCTCAACCTGATAAAGGACCTCTACAAGAAATCCACAGCTAATATTCTTAACGATGAAAGACTGAATGCTTTTCTCCTAAAATCAGGAACAAGACAAAAATGGCCACCCTCACCACTTCTATTCAACACTATATTGACTGTTCTAGCCGAGCAGTTAAGCAAGAAAATGAAATAAAAGCCACACAGACTGGAAAGAAGTAGAATGATCTCTATTTGCAGATGACATGATCTCGTATGTGGAAAATCCTAAGGACTCTACTAAAAACTATTAGAACTAATAAACGGGTTGAGTAAGATTGTGGGATACAAAAATCAATACACAAAACTTAACCATACTGCTATCTAGCTGCAGTGAGCCAATAGAAAATAAAATTAAGAATTTTATTTACAATAGCACCTAAAGAATAAAATGCTTAGAAATAAACTTAACAGAAATGCAAACCTTATAGTCTGAAAACTACAAAACACTGTTGAATGAAATTAGAGAAAACCTCATTAAATGGAAAGACACCCCATTTTCAGGGATTGGAAGATTCAACATTGTTAAAATGGCAATGTTCCTCAAGTTCATCTACAGATTCAATGCAATCACTACCAAAATACTAGGTGACATTTTTGCAGAAATTGAAACATTCCTATGGAATTGCAAAAGACCCAGTAGAGCCAAAACAATCTTGAAAAAGAACAAAGTTGGATAAGACAAGCTTCTTGATTTCAAAGCTACAATAACCAAGACAGTATGGTACTGGCAGAGTCTAGACATACTAGATCAATGGAATAGAACTGAGAGTCCAGAAATGAACCCTCACAATTATGGTTAATTGATTTTTGACAAGGGTGCCAAAAAAATTAAATGGGAAAAGAAGAGTCTTTGATAAATTGATGCTGGGACAAGTTGATATCCGCAGGCAAAAGAATGAAGTCTGACCCCTACCTCACAACATACACAAAAATTAACTCAAAAATGGATCAAAGGCCTAAACGTAAGAGCTAAAACTATAAAACTCTTAAAATAAAACACAGACAAAAATCTTTGTGACTTTGATTTTTTAGACATGACACTAAACCATGAGCAACAAAGGAAAAAATAAGGTGGACACCATTAAAATTAAAAACTTTCGTGCTTCAAAGTACACTATCAAGAATGCAAAAGGAAAATCCACAGAACGAGAGAAAATTTTGGCAAATCATCTGACTGATAAAGGGCTTATATGTAGAATATGTAAGGAACTATTACAACTCAATAACAAAAAGGCAACATCTCATCTTTTTAAAAATAGGCAAAGGATCTGAATAGACATTTCTCCAAAGAAAATACACAAATAAGCAGCCAGCACATGAAAACGTGCTCAACATTATTAGCCATTAGGGAAATGTCAGTTAGAACCAGAATGAGATACTATTTCACATCCACTAGGATGGCTAGAATCTGAAAGACAAATGATAACAAGGGTTGGTGAAGATTTGGAGAAATTGGAATCCTCACACACCGCTGGTGGGAATGTAAAGTGCAGCTGCTTTGGAAAACAGCCTGGCAATTCTTCAAGCAGTTAAAGATAGAGTTACTATATGACCCAGCAATTCCACTCCTAGGTATAAACCCAAAAGAAATGAAAACATATGTCCACTGTCCATACAAAAACTCGGACACAAATGTTCATAGCAGCATTACTCACAATGGCCAAAGGCAGAAACAGCCCAAATGTCCATCCACTGATGAGTGGATAAATAAAATGCACTATATCTATACAATGGAATGTTTTTCAGCAATAAAAATAAAATATTGATATATGCTACAAAATGGATAAACCTTGAAAACATGCTAAGTGAAGGAAACCGGTCACAAAGGACCACATATCGTGTGATTTTATTTGTATGAAATGTTTAAAACAGGCAAATCTATCGAGACAGAAAGTCGGTTAGTGAGGGGCTGGCCCCATGGCCGAGTGGTTAAGTTCGCGTGCTCCACTGTGATGGCCCAGGGTTTCGTCGGTTTGAATCCTGGATGCGGACATGGCACCGCTCATCAAGCCATGCTGAGGCAGCGTCCCACATGCCACAACTAGAAGGACCCACAACTAAAAATACACAACTATGTACTGGGGGGCTTTGGAAGAAAAAGGAAAAATAAAATCTTTAAACAAAAAAAAAGTCGATTAGTGATTTCCTAGGGCTGGGAGAATGGAGTGATCGGGGCGATGGGTAAGAGGTCAGGGTTTCTTTTGGGGATAGTGAAGATGTTCCAAATTGATTGCAGCGATATATGTACAACTCTGTGAATATACTAAAAGCCATTGAACTGCACACTTTAAGTGGGTGAAGTATATGGTATGTGAATTATATCTCCATAAAGCTGTTTTTTAAAAAGGATGTTCAGGGCCAGCCCCATGGCCAAGTGGTTAAGTTCACATGCTCCACTTGGGTGGCCCAGGGTTTCCCCAGTTTGGATCCTGGGCCCAGACATAGCTCCACTCATCAAGCCATGTTGAGGTGGCATCCCACATAGCACAACTAGAG